ATGGATGGATGGATGGAAGGATAATGGATGGATGGATGGACAGACTGATAAATGACAGATGGATGGATGATGGAGGGATGATGGATGGATGAATTGGTGGATGGATGGATGGATAATGGATGGATGGATGGACAGACAGATAAATGAACAGATGGATGGATGATGATGGATGAATGGAGTGTTAGCTGTGGCAGCCAAAGTAATTCAGCCCAGTTTAAGCAAACAAAGTTATTTTACAGTAAAACTCTCAGCTGTAATCTCACCAAATTATAGCTCATAATCTGTCAAATCTGAACTGTAGCCATTTTTGTACTTTCCAGCATCAGTTGGCCGTGGCAGCCATCTTAAACTGGGTGGCATCTAAAAGTGAATCAGGTGTAGATGTACGCCCAAGAATTATAACTGAATGCTTCATTAAATCCACCGAGCGGTTCATGAAACATTATGGTAACAAACGAGCACATGAACACACACAAACACACACACACATAGGCACAAACACAAAATCAAAGCATACAAGACTTCCCGGGGTTGGCCCTTGCACCCGGGGCCCTCCTTTGAATACATGTAAAGAGGACAGAGACAAGAAATAAAAGAGAACTGACATACAGGTACAGCTTGAATGCAACTATCTCCATGGTTCCTTCAGCTTTACATCTACAAATCAGCAAATAAAGGTTTAACTTGACAGATTAAATTAACAACCACACAAGGTTACTTGAGCCTGTCTTCACTTATTTGTGCTCTTTAATTCTAAAGGCTTTCTTCTCATTTTTGCAGTGAGTAACTCTATGTGTTTGTTCTCAGCCTTTCCTCAAAAATGCCATATATAAACAACGGAGGAGGGGAGAATGGGCCGCTAATGGAAGAACTGATGCAGACGAGAAATAGTTTGAACGGAGAAAAGCAAAAGGACTCAGAAACCAGAGAGCCGGATCTTGGTGATGGGACGACAGCAGCTGTAGAGATAAACCACACCCGCCGGGGGTCCGTGGAGAAAAAATTCATCCAAGGCACGATCCTGGCAAGTGCAAGGAGAAACACTTAATTTGCTTAGACAGTTTTGTAATATCTGTTTTAGTTGCATACATGTATGCAACCACTGAACCACTGTGTAACAGTTGGACATTATAATGGTTGTTCTATAAGAATTCATTGACAAACTGGGCTATTTTTTGAGCACAGAAACAGTAAAAAACAAGAAATGTGAGTAAAGTTTTGAAGATTTATTTGAGTAAAATTGATAATTGAAGAATTTAAACACTTTTGAGTGTTTTGTATTAATTTATTTTTTGGCAAAATGTTTTGTTTTTCTTATTTATAAGACCTGTCTTCTTACAAGTGGTAGTTTTTTAAGAACAATTAGGACAAAATATATTTTTTAAATTCTGTCCAGAATGCAACATACTTTGCTATTTCTCCAATTCTACCTTTCAGCTATAAAATCAGCTCTATCTATATCACAAAAATGCCGCTCGCACAACTATATGACACAAAAATGAGCACTTAAAGGGATAGTTCAAATATTTACAATTTGGATTCTGTTAAAATGTTATGAACAGCTAATGTCTTACCTGCTGCAGATAGCTCTTTAAAATTTTAGAAACAAATTTCATTTCTGACCTGATTGATGAGATAATGGTTAATCCAAAGAAGACCAAGAACAAATTAATTTGCTGCAATTTTTAAAAACAAACCACAATTCAAATTCCTAACACTTTATGCAAATATAAACCTTTACACTATCTTAATTTTGGTATTACGCAAATATTCCAGCAAAAATATTACAATACTCCTGCTGGAAGCACCCCAGGCTGCACTGGAACATCTTCGAGTATTCGTGTTTGCAAATAACCTCTGAATTCTATATAATTTTTTAATTTAATGTGAAATTATCTGCAGTGTTAATGTTTATAAAACAATATTTACAAAAATCACTCTAAAACGTTGAAGCTTCAAGGTGTTTAAAGATGTCAGAAACCCACTTTGATCTTGACCATGTTCAAACTTATTAATTCAAAGGTATTAAACTATTTTCTTAAAGTCAGGACTTACAAAGAGCTATCTACAACAGGTAAGACATTTATAACCTTTACACGGAAGCCCATGTCAAAATATCTGAACTATCCCTTTAGTGATCAAACTGGTCACCTGACTGTTTTGTTACTTAATAATAGGGACGTTATGTAAAGGATTTACTGCTGATTTATAAATGTGTTATTCATTAGTTTATAATCACTTTATAAAGCGTTAACAATCCTTTATAAAACGGTTTTAAAAAATGTTCATTAATTGAAGCAAGCGCACTATTTTGAAAGATGCAGTGCTGTACTTTTATTCGTTCAGGTACATTTAATCTCTGTATATGTTTATGTTTAGTTATATAAAATAACTAACTGTTCATAGTGTGTGTGTGTGTGTGTGTGTGTGTGTGTGTGTGTGTGTGTGTGCACATAGCTTAACAAATGTTTGAAATTTAAAATTGTATTTTTATGAGAAAATTGATAACATTTCTGATTGATTTTGATCCAGGTTCATCATATGAAACGTGTTTTATAAATTATTAATGATTTTTGTGTTTACGATCTAATGAATACCCTATTTATAAATCATTACTGAATTGGCGAAGGTCTTTTGCATATATTTATTTTAGGTTTTTTATTCAATAATCTTTATTGATATTAATGTAAAATACTGCAACAGTTGTTTGTGATTGTCAAACTTTCAATTCTAACGCTACACAAATGTATTTTCCAGAGGAAAACCAAGCACTTCCCAACTCTGGGTAAGGGAGGCACATTGGGAAACAAATCCAGAAAGACGGTCCAGGGCCTGTTCAACCAGGTAGTGTGTGAAAAACCCGACTCAAGAATTAAGTTGTCTCTCAAGAAACAGATATAGACGTCACGTGCACTAACCGTGTCCTCCCACGCAAACACCTAAATCAATGCAGCACCAACTTGTTCTGCTCCACTAGTGTTCACTTTATGAGACCACAAACATTCACAACATCCTTTAAGCTCCGTGGAGCCACTGGTGCGTTGTAACATCTCTCCCTCCCTGTCCTTCGGCTGTTTCTCTTTTGGCTGTGTTCTTTAGCCGGAGCGAGATCAGCTGGACGTGTTCAAGCAGGAGCTGGAGGCCTTTGTCGCGTCAGACAACCTGACATGGAGGTGGAAGGAGGAAAGTCATGGCACCACGTTGGAGCACAACTGGACCGATTTAGTGACTTCTCACTCGGTAATGAGTCAGCATTCTTGTTTCTGTCAGAAGAAACCTTAAAGCTAAAATAATTCCTTCAAATAGTTCCTTTGTCTTCTGCTGCCAAGAAAGATGACTAACCATATAATTGCCTGAGTGTGAGGGCTAATGTCCATGTTTGTCAGCAAAATATCTCATGAACCGTAGGGCAGATTTTACTGCAATTCTCAGAAAGCAAACACTAGTTGCACATCTACAACTGATTAACCTTTGGTGCAAACCCAATTAAATATGGCCGCCAGAGCTACCTTAACAAATGCTAATATGGCTGCAAATCTGTCCATTTTTTTTAGGAGTTGAGCAAAAATTTGGTGTGCTATTAGCTGAGAGCACTAACAGATTACTCAGAGTCTTTGCTTAAACATTTGGCATTAACTGTTTGAATCATTCCTGGCTGTCTGTTAGCAAAATATCTCACGGACAAAGTCGCCGGATGTACATTACAGCTGTGTCTGCCCAGTTCAAGATGACCACCACAGCTAATCCACCAAACACAAAATGGTTATCATTAAGCTAAACATGTCTGGTGTGGTAGTAGCTGAGAGTCATCCCTAACACACACTGAGCATTAACAGGTCACACAGAATATTTGTTTAAATGTTCTCGTGCAAACTGGCAGGCGATCTCCATTCTTTCACAGAACTGCTCAGACTTTTCTAGCTGAACCTTTAAAGCAGGGGTGTCGAACTCACAAAAGGGGGCCAAAATTAAAACATTATTTAAAATGAGTGAAATTAAGTGCCAGTTTCAGAATCTACATTAACTCAAGTTAGATACCCAACATCTTTTCTTGGTTGCAGGTTCCTCAAAAAGGAGTTTGATTGGTCTCATTTGACGTTCTCTGTTGCACTTTTGACATCATAATCAAAGATTACTGAAAAAATTCAAGTGAATAAAGTATTTTATGTTTAACATATCATCTTGGGGGCCAGAGAAGATGTCAACGAGGGCCACATTTGGCCCCCGGACCTTGAGTTTGGCATGTGTGCTTTAAAGGGATCTTAGTCTTTTATTTTGCTATAGATTGAGACCATTTTTCTCTTGTCACATCCTTGTTATGAAGCACGTCCTCGGTACGCACATATTACACATTCCTTAAATATCATTGCCAGCCTTCTTCTTTTTTTGTTCCTCCGGCCTCTCCCTTTGTCCCGACGTCATAAGCAGACGATGGGTAAGATGCAGAGGAACCAGCAGGCGGCACTGTGGGAGTTTGTTCACACAGAGCTCACCTACATCAACAAGCTGAAGATCATCAAAGATGTGAGACATCCCTCGCTCTACTTTATTTTAATTGAGCTCAGCTATATGTGTGTCAGGGCGTAGGAGGATGTTTAACAGATGTGTGTGTGCCTCTCACAGTTGGTGATCACAGCTCTCCACAACCTGCACCAGCATGAATTCCTCCAGGAGGTTAGTCTGCAAAAAAAAAAAAAACACACAAGTTGGACTGGCATACCACACAACTGCTGCACAACACACACACACATATCACACAGGCCTTTTTTCCACTGCTCTGCATACCAACAACATGTGCTGCTGAGACAAAACACAACCTGAGGGAGAGAGTGGAACAATGAAGAAAACAATAAGTTTCCACAGAGAAGATGGAAAATACCACAGAACCTGGTGGTTCAACTCTAACTCTGTGATTTTTTTTATTTAATTTTTGATCTGGCTTCGTGCTGTAATGCAGGTTACCCCTGAGCTGCTGTTCTCCAACCTCCCCGCCATCCTCCAAGCTCACCAGCTGTTCTGGCAGGAAGTGGTCTACCCCATGCTACAGGAAGTACGGAGGACGGGAAAACCTTTTGATCCCATGAGGCTGGAGGCTGGTTGCCTGCAGGTATGAGCTCACTGCCTGCAGGTTACGAGTTAAATCAAAGTTTATTTCTGTATCACAATAAAAAAACAAGCCTCAATGACCAAAGTGCTGCGCAAAATGTAAATATAAAGCACGTGAGCTCAGATACAATAAAAATATCACATACAGTGTTAACACATTGTTTTGCACATAACTCTTTAATATTTAGCTTTTGCAGTGAAGCTTTCTGGACAGGATTTATCTACTTTGTATTTCTGCAGCAAAACTGGGCTTTAAATTAGTTTTCAATAGATCTAGAGTTGTTTCCTTGTAGTTATTATTGAAGGCAGTTATGGATTCTGTAGCATTAGCCTCCCTAATTAAGTTCCAAATTGTTCTGTATTCTTATGTTTTTATGTTGCCCTAATTCTACATTACAACATGGTTTTATTACAACTTTCTAAAACTAATTTTGCATTTTAAAAAAACATGATGCACCGGTGTGCTAAACATAAAAAAAAGCATTTGACCACCTTAAAGAGTCTCAGATGTGTTTGAAAATGTACAAATATATTCATGTTAGGGATGCACGATATTGGAGTTTTGTCTGATTTCCAATATGTTTAAACTTATTGAGCTGATAACCGATACCAATACCGATATATTTTTCCCCTAGACCTACATACAGAGACTACATATCTTTCTCTGCTGTGGAATTAAATTACTACATTATTCTGCGTGGTCTTTGTCACTTTGGCCTGCTACCAAATGCAGATGCCAAAAAGAGGGCTCAAAATGATGTAACACTTCAACTTGGATTATGTTTAATGTCAAATTTATTCATGACATTTACTCTCTCTAACACAATGACAACACTCGAACAGTGCAAATTTGTAAATTTTCACAAATCTAAACTTAATGGCGCGCGTGACGTCAAAACGTTGTGCTGGCGCTGCAGGCGTTCTTGTCACTGAGCTGCCATACAAAACAGTGCCAT